GAATATATTCACAAAATAAACCATCATCATTGCATGCTGGATAGAGTGCTCACTTCTGCCCTTCAGATTTTCTACGAGGACATAACAGATCACACCAGCTCCATATATGTGTACAGATTTCAAAAGACAGGAGGACAGAAAGGTGAAGGAAAGAGTATCAGTTTATTGAGGTCATGGACTTATCTGTTAGAACATGGAAACCAACAACGTGTGGAGTCAAAGGTCAACAAGGGAATTAGTTGGTACAATGGTGGAACCTAAGACCAACACTGAGGACCTATGCAGGAGTGACACATGATGATGATGATATGCTTACACATTGATAAGTCTGGGTATGTAACTGATAGTGTGTGTGGATGTGTAACTGAAAGTGTGTGTGGATGTGTAACTGAAAGTGTGTGTGGATGTGTAACTGAAAGTGTGTGTGGATGTGTAACTGAAAGTGTGTGTGGATGTGTAACTGAAAGTGTGTGTGGATGTGTAACTGAAAGTGTGTGTGGATGTGTAACTGATAGTGTGTGTGGATGTGTAACTGATAGTGTGTGTGGATGTGTAACTGATAGTGTGTGTGGATGTGTAACTGATAGTGTGTGTGGGTGTGTCACTGAAAGTGTGTGTGGGTGTGAAACTGAAAGTGTGTGTTACATTCTCAGAACACTGAGTATCAAAAGTTACAGCCTACCAGTGATTCACTTTGTGTGGGCAAGCAGATTTTGTGCAACATTTGAACACGTACTGTGTGGGCAAGCAGATTTTGTGCAACATTTGAACACGTACTGTGTGGGCAAGCAGATTTTGTGCAACATTTGAACACGTACTGTGTGGGCAAGCAGATTTTGTGCAACATTTGAACACGTACTGTGTGGGCAAGCAGATTTTGTGCAACATTTGAACACATACTGTGTGGGCAAGCAGATTTTGTGCAACATTCGAACACATACTGTGTGGGCAAGCAGATTTTGTGCAACGTCTGAACACGTTCTGTGTGGGCAAGCAGATTTTGTGCAACATTTGAACACGTACTGTGTGGGAAGTCCACCGGTGCAACATTTGAACACGTACTGTGAGGGCAAGCAGATTTTGTGCAACATTTGAACACGTACTGTGTGGGAAGTCCACCGGTGCAACATTTGAACACGTACTGTGTGGGCAAGCAGATTTTGTGCAACATTCGAACACGTACTGTGGGGGAAGTCCACCGGTGCAACACTTAAACACGTACTGTGTGGGAAGTCCACCGGTGCAACACTTGAACACGTACTGTGTGGGAAGTCCACCGGTGCAACATTTGAACACGTACTGGGTGGGAAGTCCACCGGTGCAACATTTGAACACGTACTGTGTGGGAAGTCCACCGGTGCAACATTTGAACATGTACTGGGTGGGAAGTCCACCGGTGCAACATTTGAACACGTACTGGGTGGGAAGTCCACCGGTGCAACATTTGAACACGTATTGTGTGGGAAGTCCACCGGTGCAACATTTGAACACGTACTGTGTGGGAAGTCCACCGGTGCAACACTTGAACACGTACTGTGTGGGAAGTCCACCGGTGCAACATTTGAACACGTACTGGGTGGGAAGTCCACCGGTGCAACATTTGAACACGTACTGGGTGGGAAGTCCACCGGTGCAACATTTGAACATGTACTGGGTGGGAAGTCCACCGGTGCAACATTTGAACATTTACTGGGTGGGAAGTCCACCGGTGCAACATTTGAACATGTTCTGAGTGGAAAGTCCACCGCTTCCTCATTCCACAGTGTAGTAGATCTCAGTTTCGGAAATGGCACATCATATTTTTCTATTTGTGGCACAGGAAGATAAGCCTAACCAAAAGTAAACCAACTGACTGCTGCAGGGATAACTATGTGGTTATGTGATATCAATCAAGCTAGCAGTTTAAAGCCGTGTAGTTTTGAACTACACATGTGGTCCTTACGTTATGTTTGACCAATATGTTGTGAGCTGCAGTTGGATGTTTTGATTGGCTGAAGACAATGATTTTGTCAAATGTGATGAAACTATTGGCTACTCAAATAGGAGTGTAGAGGAAAGGATGAGACATCTGATTGGCTAGAAAAGTACATAGTATGTTATGACGTGTTTGATTGGCCAGTAAAGAATGTTTGGTAATGTGATAAAATATTTCATTGGCTGAGATAAACAAATGTTGATTAATATGATACAATATGTGATTGATCAAAATAATATTGTCAGACTTATATGTTCCGTGATATCTGAACATGCCATGGCAAGACAAGGATGGGTGTCAGCCTGTTAACTGAGACATGTTGTAGGCTGCCTCAAGATGTTGATACGCATGATCGACTAGCCAGCCGCAAGACAATTGGCAAAGACGAAACATACCTATCTATTTAATTCATTTTGTAAGTGTGGCTGTTTCACTATTCTATGATACATGTCTAGTTTGACTAGTTGTCACTTTGTGATAAATGTTTCCTTCAAGTGTGATTTCTGTGTAGACACTAAGTTATTGACAACTATACTGGTCATGTAATCCCTAGGGTGTATTTAGTTTGCTGTGATGTTCAATATATATATATATATATATTGTTGTTTATTTGAGATTTATTCTTCCATTTTCCCCCCGGAAAGATTCCAGCTTGAGGTTCAAGCACATGCCAGTATTGACACTGTAAGAGGTGGCTATCACCGCACTCTTATAGCACAGGTTAGGTTTGACATCCACACTATAGCATAGGTAAGGTTTCACATCCACACTATAGGACAGGTTAGGTTTGACATCTACACTATAGCACAGGTTAAATTTCACATCCACACTATAGCACAGGTTTCACATCCACACTATAGCACAGGTTAGGTTTCAAATCCACACTTAAGGACAGGTTAGGTTTCACATCCACATTATAGCACATGTTAGGTTAGACATCCACACTATAGCACAGGTTAGGTTTCACATCCACACTATAGCACACGTTAGGTTGAACATCCACACTATAGCATAGGTAAGGTTTCACATCCACACCATAGCACACGTTAGGTTGGACATCCACACTATAGCATAGGTTAGGTTTGACATCCACACTATAGCATAGGTAAGTTTTCACATCCACACTATAGCATAGGTTAGGTTTCATATCCACACTTTAGGACATGTTAGGTTTCACATCCACACTATAGGACAGGTTAGGTTTCATATCCACACTTTAGGACAGGTTAGGTTTCACATCCACACTATAGGACAGGTTAGGTTTCACATCCACACTATAGGACAGGTTAGGTTTCACATCCACACTATAGGACAGGTAAGGTTTCACATCCACACTATAGGACAGGTTAGGTTTCACATCCACACTATAGGACATGTTAGGTTTCACATCCACACTACAGGACAGTTTAGATTTCATATCCACACTATAGGACAGGTTAGGTTTCATATCCACACTATAGGACAGGTAAAGTTTCATATCCACACTATAGGACAGGTTAGGTTTCATATCCACACTATAGGACAGGTTAGGTTTCATATCCACACTATAGGACAGGTTAGGTTTCATATCCACACTATAGGACAGGTTAGGTTTCATATCCACACTATAGGACAGGTTAGGTTTCATATCCACACTATAGGACAGGTTAGGTTTCATATCCACACTATAGGACAGGTTAGGTTTCATATCCACACTATAGGACAGGTTAGGTTTCATATCCACACTATAGGACAGGTTAGGTTTCACATCTACACTATAGGACAGGTTAGGTTTCACATCCACACTACAGGATAGTTTAGATTTCATATCCACTCTACAGACTAGATTAGATTTCATATCCACATTATAGCACAGGTTAGGTTTCATTTCCACACTATAGCACAAAGCTAACATCACAGACAAATCACATATAAACATTAAAATGCAGGTCACACACCAACAGTTTAGCACAGGTCACAGATCATAAATATTGGACAGGTCAAACATTAAAAATACAGCACAGGTTACACATCAACAATATAGTACAGGGCACATGTCAAAAATATAGCACAAGTCACACTGCCACAATATAGGACAGGTAACACATCCATAATATAGCACAGGTCATACATCCCTTTTCTCTGAGCAAGAAAATATTGTGACCCATCCGGGACAGAATGAGACCCATCCGGGACAGACTGGGACCCACCCAGGCCAGACTAGCACCCATCCAGGACAGACTAGCACACATCCAGGACAGAGACCCATCTGGGACCTTTCCAGGACAGAATGAGACCCATCTATAAGCAGTGCAACAGAAAATGCATTCAGAGTCATCACAATACATCCCACAATCACTGAGTGATCTCATTAATACCGACTATCAATCAATCCAAAGTCGTATTTATTATATTTATGAAATTTATTTCTGTGTTACTTGAGTGAAAACCAGAATAAACGTGATAATTGTCAGAATCTGTTTCTGCAGCTTGTCCTTTATTGTATATCATCATCATCATCATCATTATCATTAAAAAAAAACCAGTTATTTTTCTAGTGCAACATGGAATCAAATCAGCTACAACAAACATTTTTCTTCACCTGAACAAACGACCCCAAGAAATAACTTCACAGAATTTAAAACTTAATCAATGGAAACTTAATCTATGGAAAATAATTGTTCGACAAGAATCAGGAGATTGAAAAACTGACACATGAACACATTCTGGAAAACAGAACTGGTCCCTGAACACCAGAAATCAGTTTCAATGTTTGTTCTCACAAACTATCCCCCATAGCTGCTGTTTCCTGTGCTCTCAACTCTGCAGACTTTCTCTCATGTCAAGCTATTAAATTCAACAGTGACATGAAATGATTCCCCCACCCCTAAACGATCTCAATGACACGACTCGACTATTGTCTAAATATGTGGCATCATAAACAGTATGCTTTGTTTTTTGTTTTTGCAAAAATAAGCAAAACTGGGAAATATTTTGAGATGGATAAATAAACGGGTGATCTAAGTCTGGAAATGTCTATACAGTGTCACAACCGCACAAAAAATACCTCTAGAATATTATCTTCAGCCTCGTCCCTGATTTCTGAGTTACCAGAGGCAACAGCCTGGGTACCTACAGCAGCAACATTGCCACTGACATCAGCTGATCTCTGAGGAGGGCTCACATCCTCTCTGTTGGAGAAGTTGAGAATCTGGATGACCTTCTCCACACTCACCTCATCGTCCAGCATGTCATGCTCATCATCGTCCCCAGATCTTGCATCGTCCACAATCTCGGAGACATCCAGCTTCCTGCCAGCAGCCCCCAGCTTACAGCCAGGCTGGGTCACCTGCTCACGGCCCAGCACATCTCCCAGGCACTGCTGCCGGCTGCTCGAATCCCTGAGAGGCCTCTTCACCTCAAACAACTCCAGCACAGCATCTGTTTCTGGTTCCAGATAGGCCGGCTTGGATTTCATTGGTGGACTCAAAGCTTGGGTAGAGTGGAATTTGTCTATCACAGTTGGAGACTTCTGCAGAAAGTTGACACAAGGTTGCTGGGAACTCAGTGTGGATGTAACTGTTTTCAAGTTGACACTGTGCGGATCTGTAACCTTGCTCTGTGACCGTGACATCTGACCCCGCTGAGACATAGCGACCAGTGTCTGCTGAGAAAGGAGGTTGATGATTTCCACATCGGAAAGAGTTTCTTCCCTTTGTTTAAAAAAAAAAAGGTAATGTCAAGACATACAGATATTATAAAAAGCAGACATGATAAAAGAAAGACATGGTGACAGACAGGTAAGATAATGACAAGATAAAACACATGAAAACAGTAAAACAGATATAAGACAAGACTAACTGAGTGTGACAAGCAAACAAAGGGATGGCTTCAGTTGATTTATGCTATGGGGTGTACATCTCAGTACTGACTGTGTACTGTACAACCACATATCTCAACACTGACTGTGTAATGTACAACCACATATCTCAGCACTGACTGTGTACTGTACAACCACAAATCTCAGTACTGACTGTGTAATGTACAACAACCACATATCTCAGTACTGACTGTGTAATGTACAACCACATATCTCAGTACTGACTGTGTAATGCACAACCACACATCTCAGCACTGACTGTGTAATGTACAACAACCACATATCTCAGTACTGACTGTGTAATGTACAACAACCACACATCTCAGCACTGACTGTGTAATGTACAACAACCACATATCTCAGTACTGACTGTTCACTGTACAACAACCACATATCTCATTACTGACTGTGTAATGTACAACCACATATCTCATTACTGACTGTGTAATGTACAACCACATATCTCAGCACTGACTGTGTAATGTACAACCACATATCTCATTACTGACTGTGTAATGTACAACCACATATCTCAGCACTGACTGTGTAATGTACAACAACCACTTATCTCAGCACTGACCGTGTAATGTACAACAACCACACATCTCAGCACTGACTGTGTAATGTACAACCACATATCTCAGCACTGACTGTTCACTGTACAACAACCACATATCTCAGTACTGACTGTGTAATGTACAACAACCACACATCTCAGCACTGACTGTGTAATGTACAACCACATTTCTCAGCACTGACTGTGTAATGTACAAACACATATCTCAGCACTGACTGTATAATGTACAACCACATATCTCAGTACTGACTGTGTAATGTACAACCACACATCTCAGTACTGACTGTGTAATGTACAACCACACATCTCAGCACTAACTGTGTAATGTACAATGACATATCTCAGCACTGACTGTGTAATGTACAACCACATATCTCAGTACTGACTGTGTAATGTACAACCACATATCTCAGCACTAACTGTGTAATGTACAACCACATATCTCAGCACTGACTGTGTAATGTACAACCACAAATCTCAGCACTGAGTGTGTAATGTACAACAACCACATATCTCAGTACTGACTGTGTAATGTACAACTACAAATCTCAGCACTGACTGTGTAATGTACAACAACGACATATCTCAGTACTGACTGTGTAATGTACAACCACAAATCTCAGCACTGACTGTGTAATGTACAACAACCACATATCTCAGCACTGACTGTGTACTGTACAACAACCACAAATCTCAGCACTGACTGTGTAATGTACAACAACCACATATCTCAGCACTGACTGTGTAATGTACAACAACCACAAATCTCAGCACTGACTGTGTACTGTACAACAACCACAAATCTCAGCACTGACCGTGTACTGTACAACAACCACATATCTCAGTACTGACTGTGTAATGTAGAAACACATATCTCAGCACTGACTGTGTAATGTACAACCACATATCTCAGTACTGACTGTGTAATGTACAACCACAAATCTCAGCACTGACTGTGTAATGTACAACAACCACATATCTCAGTACTGACTGTGTACTGTACAACAACCACAAATCTCAGTACTGACTGTGTAATGTACAACAACCACAAATCTCAGCACTGACTGTGTACTGTACAACAACCACATATCTCAGTACTGACTGTGTAATGTAGAAACACATATCTCAGCACTGACTGTGTAATGTACAACCACATATCTCAGTACTGACTGTGTAATGTACAACCACACATCTCAGCACTGACTGTGTAATGTACAACAACCACATATCTCAGTACTGACTGTGTAATGTACAACCACAAATCTCAACACTGACTGTGTAATGTACAACAACAACATATCTCAGCAATGACTGTGTACTGTATAACAACCACAAATCTCAGCACTGACTGTGTAATGTACAACAAACACATATCTCAGCACTGCCTGTGTAATGTACAACAACCACAAATCTCAGCACTGACTGTGTACTGTACAACAACCACATATCTCAGTACTGACTGTGTAATGTACAACAACCACATATCTTAGCACTGACTGTGTAATGTACAACCACATACCTCAGCACTGACTATGTAATGTACAACAACCACATATCTCAGCACTGACCGTGTACTGTACAACCGCATATCTCAGTACTGACTGTGTAATGTACAACAACCACATATCTCAGCACTGACTGTGTAATGTACAACAACCACACATCTCAGTACTGACTGTGTAATGTACAACCACATATCTCAGTACTGACTGTGTAATGTAAAACAATCACACATCTCAGCACTGACTGTGTAATGTACAACCACATATCTCAGCACTGACTGTTCACTGTACAACAACCACATATCTCAGTACTGACTGTGTAATGTACAACAACCACATATCTCAGTACTGACTGTGTAATGTACAACAACCACATTACTCAGTACTGACTGTGTAATGTACAACCACATATCTCAGCACTGACTGTTCACTGTACAACAACCACATATCTCAGTACTGACTGTGTAATGTACAACCACATATCTCAGCACTGACTGTGTAATGTACAACAACCACACATCTCAGTACTGACTGTGTAATGTACAACAACCACACATCTCAGTACTGACTGTGTAATGTACAACAACCACACATCTCAGTACTGACTGTGTAATGTACAACAACCACATATCTCAGTACTGACTGTGTAATGTACAACCACATATCTCAGTACTGACTGTTCACTGTACAACAACCACACATCTCAGTACTGACTGTGTAATGTACAACCACATATGTCAGTACTGACTGTTAACTGTACAACAACCACACATCTCAGTACTGACTGTGTAATGTACAACCACATATCTCAGTACTGACTGTTCACTGTACAGCAACCACATATTTCAGCAGTGACTGTGTAATGTACAACCACACATCTCAGTACTGACTGTGTACTGTACAACAACCACACATCTCAGTACTGACTGTGTATTTTACAACAACCACACATCTAAGTACTGACTGTGTAATGTACAACCACACATCTCAGTACTGACTGTGTAATGTACAACCACATATCTCAGTACTGACTGTGTAATGTACAACCACACATCTCAGCACTGACTGTGTAATGTACAACAACCACACATCTAAGTACTGACTGTGTAATGTACAACCACACATCTCAGTACTGACTGTTCACCTTGCAGCAATCACACATCTCAGTACTGACTGTGTACTGTACAACAACCACATACCACACATCTCAGTATGGACTGTGTACTGTATAACAACCACACATCTCAGTAATGACTGTGTAAAGTACAACCACACATCTCAGTACTGACTGTGTGATGTACAACAACCACACATCTCAGCACTGACTGTGTAATATACAACCACACATCTCAGTACTGACTGTGTACTGTACAACAACCACACATCTCAGTACTGACTGTGTAATGTACAACAACCACACATCTCAGTAATTAGTTAGTTAGTTAGTTAGCTGGGTTATCCTCATTGCACTCCGGACATGTCCATAGGTGCTCAGATCCTTCCCTCAGTATGAACCCCAACGTCCGATGGCTAATAGTACCAGTTCTATGTTGATTAACAAGTCTTCTGGCGTAGCTGGTGTGCGTCTCGTTTTTTTCTGTGCCGATCTTAATTCCCAAGTCTGCCATTCTGGCGAGTGATGTGGATTCACTGCCACCAAAGTCCTCTATCCTTCCCATTTCTCTGAGGGCATTGATAATATCAGCATTATCCATAGGCTGACCGTCGGTAGTGATAGCGGATCCAGCCAACCTGTCAGCTCTTTCATTTCCATCGACGCCTGCATGTCCCGGAACAAAAATAAAGGTGACTCCACGGACAGTGGACTTCTGTAATGATTCAAGCCATTGTCTTCGCACTGAACCTGCCTGAACCATCCGGATCATACTCATTGAATCACTGAGTATACACACGCGGGTGTATTTTTGTGTTTCAAGCCAGGCAAGCGCTTGTGTCACTGCCATCACCTCCATCGTCATGCTGCTGGTTGTCATGGAGAAGGCGCCGTTGGCTTCTTTGACTGTTCTGCCCGCTGAGCGTGCTGTAAATGCCCATGCGCTTCTTCTTTGGCGTATAACGGATCCGTCTGTATAGATTATTGCATCTGCTTCGTCTGAATTTTCACCGATGAGAGCGTTGACCTCTGCATTAACAGCAACAGGATTCTCTTCTCTACATCGCCTGTTGAGTGTGACAATACAGGAAAATGTACAAATAAACGCCTGAGGCACAGGTATCCATTCTGCACCAGGTATGATGTCGGTTAGGCTGCATATTTGCCTAATAACATCTTCTGCCCGACCTAGCCACGATTTCCCCCTCTTCAGTCTGTCGCCCCTTTCACTAAAAAGCGCTTGATGCAGTGGGTGTTTCTTATCAGCGCATATTTTGAGATATGCCCGAGCCCTCCACATCCTGATCCTTTGGTTCATTGTTGGAAAGTCAAGTAGATACCTCATTGCTCCACAGGATGTGTCTCTAGTACATCCCAAAATAATGCGCATGGCTTCATTTTGCACCTTTTCGAGTCGTTCAATCTGGGTAGCACTGACAGTGAGGATGGCCAGAGCGTATTCAATGGGGGAAAGGACCAGACCGTAGAATAGAAGTATTAGTAGTCTTTGCTCAATATTGGAAGCAGCCATAATCCTTATTGCAGATAGACCTTTGCGTGCTTTTGTTATCACATGGTCAACGTGTTCCCTGAATGACAAGCTGCGATCGAACCTCACCCCGAGAAACGTCATAACGTTGGTTCTGATCAATACATTATCACGCATTTTCACTTCTGGTAAGTCCGACTTGACAATGTGATTGTTCAAAGAGAACCATGACACTGATGCCTTCGAAGGATTGACATAGGCATTGGAACCATCACACCAGGCGGCAATTCGATCGAGTTCTTTGTGCATTGTGCTGGCGATCTCCTGTCTATCACGCCCTCGTCGATAAATCAAAATGTCATCAGCAAATGACAAAGTCCTTCCCTTTCCATTCAACTGCTGCTCAGTGATCATCACCGTATAAACGTTGAATAAGACTGGTGATAGCGGTGATCCCTGTGGCAAGCCTGGACATATCGTTTGCGGTTCTGAGGACCAGCTACCACATCTTAGTACAATCTTTCTCTGGAACAGGACCGCAGCAATCCAGCGGATCAGAATAGGATTAACTTCTAGTTTAAGCAGTAATTGCATTAAATAATCGTATGGTACTTTATTGTAGGCATCTTCTAAGTCCAACACTGCCGCACATGTCTCTTCTTTAATCTGAAATCCCTCGTACACATCGTAGGCGAAAACTGCAGCATTGAACCATGTCTCTTTATTTAACCTGTACCCTCCAAGTGTTGGTGGGAACTTATCATGTAGTTCCAAGTAGGTGGTCAATCTTTGTGCGACAATTTTTTTCCAAAAGTTTGCCAACAGTATTCTGCATCGAGATGATTCTGTAGCCGCAGATCTCCGAGTGGTCTTTATTAGGCTTTGGTAGTGGGAACAAATAACTATGGAGCCATTCCTCTTGTATCTGGCCACTCTGGATGCTGATATTGAATTCCTTTGCCACGCTTTTCAAATCAGCATTCGACATCATCAGCATGTCGTTGTATCGGATGCCGTCAGGGCCTGGAGCAGTGCTGCGCGATTTCTTGAGGCAAGTTCTTAAGGTATCTGCAGTGATTGTGAGATCAGTGCCTAGCACAGTGTTCTCGCACAGCATCGACAGTTTCATCTTAACCCCTATTCTTGTAGCTTCGTCTTTTTGGTCAGTTTGCTCCAAGTAGCGCGCCAGAAGGGTTTTTCCTTTATCAGCATCAGTTCTCTGCTATATCAGGTCTGTACCCTGAAAATCAGGGATACCCCTTGGTCGTGCAGCGCCATGCATGCTCCGTTGAAGGCGCCAGAATGTCACAAGAGATCCCTCGGAGCAAACGCTCTTGCAGAATTCGTTCCATTTCGCTGTCTTAGCTTCCTTCGCAATTACCTTGAAAGCCACTGTCTGCTTGTTGACCTCATCTTTCAGACTGATCAGGCGTTCAGAAAGTGACGGATCAATTTTCCTTGCCTTTTGCCATGCCTTGACAGCTTTCCTTTTTTCTAGCCACGCCATGTTGACTACTTCATTCCACCATGGTGGCTGGGCCCATCTTTCCCGCCGTCTGCGATCTGCTCTTGTTTTACGTCGTCGGATTTTGCTAATGGCATCTTGCCCTGTACGGTCATATATAAAAGCAGGCACATTGATTACATGACCTTTGTTGTTGCTCTTCTCTACCAGGACGACGCAAGGAAAGTGATCACTGTCGTGGTATCCCAGTGTGCTCCACCTGCACCCTGATGCAATGGAGGGAGACACTAGGGCCAGGTCAATTACGCTGTCAGAATCCCCTTGTCGTGTTGCCATTCGGGTAACCTTTCCGTCGTTCAAGCATACTAGATTGGCAGACACTAGGGCATCCTCCAGGTCTTCCCCCTGTTTATTAGTGATTACGTTGCCCCACTGGTGTCCTCTGGCGTTGAAATCTCCGCAGTAAAGGATTTTCTTTTCCTCTGTCTGGAGCAAACTCTGCCATTTCGCTGTATCCACCTTTCCATTGCAGGCGTACACATTGACAATCACAAACTGGGCCGGGCCCATCACTCTGACTGCGTGTACTTGTAAGTCGTCATTATTCCACTTAGTCATGTCCACCTCAGACACCGGTATGTGGTCACGAACAAGAATGAGCTGTCCGAGGTGCCGTCTATTGTAGAAGGATTGGAAGCCCGCAATTTTAACAATCTCGTCACCGAGGTGTGTTTCCTGTAGGACAACAATGTCGTTGCTGTAGAGGAGCTTCTCAAAAATGGGTCGGCGTTGACTAAACGAAGCGCAGTTCCAGTAGAGAACACGAACATACTTTAAACTGAGTCTCTCACATTTCAGTCGCTTCCTGCAAGCGCCACCGTGCTTGCCTGTTCGCGTTCTCCTTGTCCGTCTACGGGTTGTTTTGAATTGGTAAATAGTCGCCATCGGACGTCGAATACACACTGAGGGAAGTCTAAACTCACGTGCATGTACTCCATTGCACGGTTCAGAGCCCATTCCGATAAAACTTTCACATTATTCGTGAGCGAAAATAGCTAACTTGCGCCATTCGCCTCAACGGACGAAAAAGCGTACCGCCATTGTGGCTGTTTACACCGGAAGTTATTTTCACATCTCAGTAATGACTGTGTAATGTACAACAACCCCACATCTCAGCATTGTGTACTGTACAACAACCCCACATCTCAGCATTGTGTACTGTACAACAACCCCACATCTCAGCATTGTGTACTGTACAACAACCCCACATCTCAGCATTGTGTACTGTACAACAACCCCACATCTCAGCACTGTGTACTGTACAACAACCCCACATCTCAGCATTGTGTACTGTACAACAACCCCACATCTCAGCATTGTGTAGTGTACAACAACCACACATCTCAGCACTGTGTACTGTACAACAACCACACATGTCAGCATTGTGTACTGTACAACAACCACACATGTCAGCATTGTGTACTGTACAACAACCACACATGTCAGCATTGTGTACTGTACAACAACCACACATCTCAGCATTGTGTACTGTACAACAACCATACATGTCAGCATTGTGTACTGTACAACAACCACACATCTCAGCACTGTGTACTGTACAACAACCATACATGTCAGCATTGTGTACTGTACAACAACCACACATCTCAGCACTGTGTACTGTACAACAACCATACATGTCAGCATTGTGTACTGTACAACAACCACACATGTCAGCATTGTGTACTGTACAACAACCACACATCTCAGCATTGTGTACTGTACAACAACCACACATCTCAGCATTGTGTACTGTACAACAACCACACATCTCAGCATTGTGTACTGTACAACAACCACACATCTCAGCACTGTGTACTGTACAACAACCACACATCTCAGCACTGTGTACTGTACAACAACCACACATGTCAGCACTGTGTACTGTACAACAACCACACATCTCAGCATTGTGTACTGTACAACAACCACACATCTCAGCATTGTGTAGTGTACAACAACCACACATGTCAGCATTGTGTACTGTACAACAACCATACATGTCAGCATTGTGTACTGTACAACAACCACACATCTCAGCACTGTGTACTGTACAACAACCACACATGTCAGCATTGTGTACTGTACAACAACCACACATGTCAGCATTGTGTACTGTACAACAACCACACATCTCAGCATTGTGTACTGTACAACAACCACACATGTCAGCACTGTGTACTGTACAACAACCACACATGTCAGCATTGTGTACTGTACAACAACCATACATGTCAGCATTGTGTAATGTACAACAACCACACATCTCAGCATTGTGTACTGTACAACAACCACACATGTCAGCACTGTGTACTGTACAACAACCATACATGTCAGCATTGTGTACTGTACAACAACCACACATGTCAGCATTGTGTACTGTACAACAACCACACATGTCAGCATTGTGTACTGTACAACAACCATACATCTCAGCACTGTGTAGTGTACAACAACCACACATGTCAGCATTGTGTACTGTACAACAACCACACATGTCAGCATTGTGTACTGTACAACAACCACACATCTCAGCACTGTGTACTGTACAACAACCATACATGTCAGCATTGTGTACTGTACAACAACCACACATGTCAGCATTGTGTACTGTACAACCATACATGTCAGCATTGTGTACTGTACAACAACCACACATCTCAGCACTGTGTACTGTACAACAACCATACATGTCAGCATTGTGTACTGTACAACAACCACACATCTCAGCACTGTGTACTGTACAACAACCATACATGTCAGCATTGTGTACTGTACAACAACCACACATGTCAGCATTGTGTACTGTACAACAACCACACATCTCAGCATTGTGTACTGTACAACAACCACACATCTCAGCATTGTGTACTGTACAACAACCACACATCTCAGCATTGTGTACTGTACAACAACCACACATCTCAGCACTGTGTACTGTACAACAACCACACATCTCAGCACTGTGTACTGTACAACAACCACACATGTCAGCACTGTGTACTGTACAACAACCACACATCTCAGCATTGTGTACTGTACAACAACCACACATCTCAGCATTGTGTAGTGTACAACAACCACACATGTCAGCATTGTGTACTGTACAACAACCATACATGTCAGCATTGTGTACTGTACAACAACCACACATCTCAGCACTGTGTACTGTACAACAACCACACATGTCAGCATTGTGTACTGTACAACAACCACACATGTCAGCATTGTGTACTGTACAACAACCACACATCTCAGCATTGTGTACTGTACAACAACCACACATCTCAGCACTGTGTACTGTACAACAACCACACATGTCAGCATTTTGTACTGTACAACAACCATACATGTCAGCATTGTGTACTGTACAACAACCACACATCTCAGCATTGTGTACTGTACAACAACCACACATGTCAGCACTGTGTACTGTACAAAAACCACACATCTCAGCACTTACTCTGGTACAATAAAACCGTGATCTGCTGTATAGGTTCTGTCACTCCTGTCCTTGGACATTTTCGGTCTTTCATCCTCTAATATCTGTGGTGAAGGTTCGGACCCAGCCCTATAGTCTGTTGTCCTCCTGGGTGTCATTTCTGTGCCAGTCGAACATTTCAAACTTGTGGATGGTCTCTCAGTTGGGATCCTGACAGGAAAACACAACAACTGATCAATACTGCACCACAGACTTGATAGAGGACAACCAAAGGAAGGCAGAATGGAAGAAGAAGAAGAAGAAGAAGAATGCCAACTGATCAACAAAGATTGATTGATACAGACTTATCAATGCAGTCAAAAACATAAAACAGAAACAAATATGAAGACGGCCAAATGTTACTTAATAAAAAAAACAAAAAACAAAGATTCTGGTACAAAAGTTAAGTTGGTCATGAAAACATAAAAACATAAAAACAGTGTGAACATCCACTTACTAAAAATATCGGAACAAACCACCAAGACAGTGTGAACATCCACTTATGAATAACACACAAAAAAAAACCAAAACAAAACACCAAGACAGTGAAAATTCACACTAAAAATGTCAATCCAAACAAGAAGTAAAACTAGCCATCTTCACAACACCACACCCAGGAATGACACAACACCACACCCAGGAATAACACAACACCACACCCAGGAATGACACAACACCACCCCCAGGAATGACACAACACCACCCCCAGGAATGACACAACACCACCCCCAGGAATGACACAACACCACACCCAGGAATGACACAACACCACCCCCAGGAATGACACAACACCACCCCCAGGAATGACACAACACCACACCCAGGAATGACACAACACCACACCCAGGAATGACACAACACCACACCCAGGAATGACACAACACCACACCCAGGAATGACACAACACCACACCCAGAAATGACACAACACCACCCCCAGGAATGACACAACACCACCCCCAGGAATGACACAACACCACACCCAGGAATGACACAACACCACACCCAGGAATGACACAACACCACACCCAGGAATGACACAACACCACCCCCAGGAATGACACAACACCACCCCCAGGAATGACACAACACCACACCCAGGAATGACACAATACCACACCCAGGAATGACACAACACCACACCCAGGAATGACACAACACCACACCCAGGAATGACACAACACCACACCCAGGAATGACACAACACCACACCCAGGAATGACACAACACCACACCCAGGAATGAGACAACACCACACCCAGGAATGACACAACACCACCCCCAGGAATGACACAACACCACACCCAGGAATGACACAACACCACCCCCAGGAATGACACAACACCACCCCCAGGAATGACACAACACCACACCCAGGAATGACACAATACCACACCCAGGAATGACACAACACCACACCCAGGAATGACACAACACCACCCCCAGGAATGACACAACACCACCCCCAGGAATGACACAACACCACCCCCAGGAATGACACAACACCACACCCAGGAATGACACAACACCACACCCCAGGAATGACACAACACCACACCCAGGAATGACACAACACCACACCCAGGAATGACACAACACCACACCCAGGAATGACACAACACCACACCCAGGAATGACACAACACCACACCCAGGAATGACACAACACCACCCCCAGGAATGACACAACACCACACCCAGGAATGACACAACACCACCCCCAGGAATGACACAACACCACACCCAGGAATGACACAACACCACCCCCCAGGAATGACACAACACCACACCCAGGAATGACACAACACCACACCCAGGAATGACACAACACCACACCCAGGAATGACACAACACCACACCCAGGAATGACACAACACCATACCCAGGAATGACACAATACCACACCCAGGAATGACACAACACCACACCCAGGAATGACACAACACCACACCCAGGAATGACACAACACCACCCCCAGGAATGACACAACACCACACCCAGGAATGACACAACACCACACCCAGGAATGACACAACACCACACCCAGGAATGACACAACACCACACCCAGGAATGACACAACACCACCCCCAGGAATGACACAACACCACCCCCAGGAATGACACAACACCACCCCCAGGAATGACACAACACCACACCCAGGAATGACACAACACCACACCCAGGAATGACACAACACCACACCCAGGAATGACACAACACCACACCCAGGAATGACACAACACCACCCCCAGGAATGACACAACACCACACCCAGGAATGACACAACACCACACCCAGGAATGACACAACACCACCCCCAGGAATGACACAACACCACACCCAGGAATGACACAACACTACACCCAGGATTGACACAACACCACACCCAGGAATGACACAACTAATGTTGCAGCCAGATATCCTTTACCAGCAAACAACACAAGCACACAATGGTCACAGGAATAACAGTTGTCTGTTTTCTTCTTCTTCTGTGGAAATACATTCTGGACAGTGAGGTTTAAATTGTGCAGCCTGTTCTACTGTTCACCAAACAATATTTCTGAAGAAACTGAGACAGAAAATATGGGTATGGAGAAGAATGATCAGAATATCACAGGCAAAAGGAAAATCAACAAGGAGGTAATGACAGATGCAGAGGTTACAAGGTCACACATCAAAGCCAATGTAATTCATGGGACACATTACACAAAAAGTGAAAGCTGAGACAACACACAAGTGACTGCCCCCAAGTTGAGACAACACACGAGTGACTACCCCCAAGTTGAGACATCACACAAGTGACTGCTCCCAACTTGAGACATCACACAAGTGATTACCCCCAAGTTGAGACAGCACACAAGTGACTACCCCCAAGTTGAGACAGCACACAAGTGACTACCCCCAAGTTGAGACAACACACAAGTGACTACCCCCAAGTTGAGACAACACACAAGTGACTACCCCCAAGTTGAGACAACACACAAGTGACTACCCCCAAGTTGAGACAACACACAAATGACTACCCCCAAGTTGAGACAACACACAAGTGACTACCACCAAGTTGAGACAACACACAAGTGACTACCCCCAAGTTGAGACATCACAAAAGTGACTGCCCCCAACTTGAGACATCACACAAGTGATTACCCCCAAGTTGAGACAGCACACAAGTGACTACCCCCAAGTTGAGGAGACACACAAGTGACTACCCCCAAGTTGAGACAACACACAAGTGACTACCCCCAAGTTGAGACAACACACAAGTGACTACCCCCAAGTTGAGACAACACACAAGTGACTACCCCCAAGTTGAGACAACACACAAATGACTACCCCCAAGTTGAGACAACACACAAGTGACTACCCCCAAGTTGAGACAACACACAAGTGACTACCCCCAAGTTGAGACATCACAAAAGTGACTGCCCCCAACTTGAGACATCACACAAGTGATTACTCCCAAGTTGAGACAGCACACAAGTGACTACCCCCAAGTTGAGACAGCACACAAGTGACTACCCCCAAGTTGAGACAACACACAAGTGACTACCCCCAACTCGAGTCAACACACGAGTGACTACCCCCAAGTTGAGTCAACACACGAGTGACTACCCCCAACTTGAGAGAACACACAAGTGACTACCCCCAAGTTGAGACAACACACAAGTGACTGCCCCCAAGTTAAGACAACACATGAGTGACTGCCCCCAACTTGAGACAACACACAAGTGACTGCCCCCAAGTTGAGACAACACACAAGTGATTACTCCCAAGTTGAGACAGCACACAAGTGACTACCCCCAAGTTGAGACAGCACACAAGTGACTACCCCCAAGTTGAGACAACACACAAGTGACTACCCCCAACTCGAGTCAACACACGAGTGACTACCCCCAAGTTGAGTCAACACACGAGTGACTACCCCCAACTTGAGAGAACACACAAGTGACTACCCCCAAGTTGAGACAACACACAATAGACTGCCCCCAAGTTAAGACAACACATGAGTGACTGCCCCCAACTTGAGACAACACACAAGTGACTGCCCCCAAGTTGAGACAACACACAAGTGACTGCCCCCAAGTTGAGACAACACACAAGTGACTGCTCCAAGTTGAGACAACACATGAGTGACTGCCCCCAAGTTGAGACAACACACAAGTGACTGCCCCCAAGTTGAGACAACACATGAGTGACTGCCCCCAAGTTGAGACAACACACAAGTGACTGCCCCCAAGTTAAGACAACACACAAGTGACTGCCCCCAAGTTGAGACAACACACAAGTGACTGTCCTCAAGTGGAGACAACACACAAATGACTGCCCCCAAGTTGAGACAACACACAAGTGACTGCCCCCAAGTTGAGGCAACACACAAGTGACTGTCCCCAAGTTGAGACAACACACAAGTGACTGCCCCCAAGTTGAGACAACACACAAGTGACTGTCCTCAAGTGGAGACAACACACAAGTGACTGTCCCCAAGTGGAGACAACACACAAGTGACTGCCCCCAGGTTGAGACAACACACAAGTGACTGCCCCCAAGTTGAGACAACACACAAGTGACTGTCCCCAAGTTGAGACAACACACAAGTGACTGCCCCCAAGTTGAGACAACACACAAGTGACTGCCCCCAAGTTGACCTATGCCCAGAAACGTTGATAACAATACACTGATATGATCTTACATCAAATGATAACAGTTATGATAAGTGCAATTTCAAATCAAATCTGTACACTTGTACAGGACAACACACCTTGACATGTGGGCAAAAGAAACACTTGTGCTAGCATCAGTCCTCTGTGGCAGGTTGGTCACTTGTGGAACAACAGTGCTGACTGTTGATGAAGCTGGAGGGGTGCTGTGTTTCTTCTGAGTGCTGTGTGTGTCCCGTTTGCTGAGTGTGTTCCGTTTTTCTGGCTCTGCTGATGCATCACTTTCTGAAAGAACACAACTGATGAAAGATCATTTAAAAAAAACAAAAAAACAAAAAAACCCACGCACGCACGCACGCACACACACACACACATACATACATACATACATACAGACACATACAAATACACACACTACACAGTGGAGTATCAAAATCATACAACCATACACACACACTATGCATCTGAGTGTCAAAGTCATATAACCACACACACTCTACACATCTAAGTATCAAAGTCATATAACCATACACACACACACACACACACACACACACTACACATCTGAGTGTCAAAGTCATACAACCATGCACACACACACACTACACATCTGAGTGTCAAAGTCATACAACCATACACACACACACTACACATCTGAGTGTCAAAGTCATACAACCATACACACACACACACACACACTACACATCTGAGTGTCAAAGTCATACAACCATACCCACACACACACACACCTCTACACATCTGAGTGTCAAGTCATACAACCATACACACACACACACACTACACATCTGAGTGTCAAAGTCCTACAACCATACACACACACACACTACACATCTGAGTGTCAAAGTCATACAACCATGCACACACACACACACACACTACACATCTGAGTGTCAAAGTCATACAACCATGCACACACACACACTACACATCTGAGTGTCAAAGTCATACAACCATACACACACACACACACTACACATCTGAGTGTCAAAGTCATACAACCATACACACACACACACACTACACATCTGAGTTTCAGAGTCATACAACCATGCACACACATACACTACACATCTGAGTGTCAAAGTTATACAAACATACACACACACACACACACAAACACACACACACACACACAAACACACACTACACATCTGAGTGTCAAAGTCATACAACCATACACACACACACTACACATCTGAGTGTCAAAGTCATACAACCATACACACACACACACACACACACACTACACATCTGAGTTTCAAAGTCATACAACCATGCACACACACACTACACATCTGAGTGTCAAAGTCATAAAACCATACACACACACACACACACACACACACACTACACATCTGAGTGTCAAAGTCATACAACTATACACACACACACACACACTACACATCTGAGTGTCAAAGTCATACAACCATGCACACACACACATACACTACACATCTGAGTGTCAAAGTCACTGTTCACACACTACTCCCTCACTTATGACTTGTCCATGTCAGCTGCAAGTCTACAGTTGCTTGTCTTTGCTTACCACTGCCTTTTCTCATCAAACCATGTCTACTTTTTCCCCCAATCCATTTACACATATGCACACATCTACCTACCTTTCTCTATCAATCTCTAATGTAGGTCTACCCTTGTCTCCCCTTGCTCCAGACGTGGGTCCTAGGAGGCCCCAACTGGGGAAAGGGGGATACAGACCCACTGCCACCCTAATTAGCATGTCAAAAATGGTGGCAAATTAGGGGTTTTGCCTTCAAAGACAGAGTGCATCTGTCCAAGAGGAAAGAACCAACAGTCTGTATACAAAAAAGCCAGATCTGTAAAACATATAAGCACATAAAACTCAAGTTCTGAAACAAGACAGAAGTGGTCGAACAACCAGAGCTTTCCATCGGAGTTGACAGTCAGTTGAACGCTAAGCAGAAGAAGAAGTAAAAGGAGGAGAATAAGAAGAAGAAGAAGAAGAAGGAGAAGAACAAGAACAAGAACAAGAAGAAAAACAAGAAAAAGTCTTCACAATATCTACCCCAGTCTATCATTCTCTAACTATGACTGCTATTCAATCCTATATTGTGAAAAGATATCAGACAAACAAAAAGTAGAAACAGTTTCACATGATCACAAACACAAATACTAAGTGAACGCCTTCATCAGCACACAACACGAACCTACAGTGCCACAAATGTCAACAGGAATACACAAAACCACTCAGCTGATTTATCTACACTGGTGTCTGACCAGCAGAATATTCTTTCCACCTGCTAGTTTCTTCAGCTCTGTCTATTTCTTCTTCTCTCCTCGTGGTACCCTCTTCTTCCCTTTCCATCAAAATAATAAAAACATGTAGTTCAAAAGAAGTAATTGTTTCACTGACCCGTGTCGGAGTTCAGGGAGTAATCAAGTTTCTTCACAATGTCCTTAACCTTGGGACTTTGACAGCGAATGCCAGCATCTCTTGCATTGCCAGGTACAGGGTCAGCTCCAACTGGCAACATCCCTGTCTCTGCTTGTACATCTGTGCTCTTGGAGTGGCTGGCCTTGACCTGCCCAGCACCAGCTGTTCTTGTTGGCTGCTTGTGTCTGCATCCTCTGCCATCTGCAGCACAAGTGATCAAAAACAATTTATGAAAAGTGAGATCAGAAAAGGAGCTGAAAATCTAAACAAAGAGAGCCCCTCCCTCAAAATATTGAATATATCTATAAACTGAAAAAAAAAAAAAATAAATAAATAAATAAATTACAGGCACATATTTTCATTCTTGGCCACATTATGAGAAGGGAGTAACCTGGCACATGTTGTGGCAGCTAGACAGATGTATGGATCCAGAGTCAAAAGAAAGTGTGAATTAATATCCACACAAGGAGTACGTGCTAGCCTTGTCAATGTTGTTTTGAAAACTAAACATGCAGTGATAACATCATCAATCCAGTTTCTCTGTGATTCACTCACCAAATTCTTCTTCCCCTGCCCTTTCTCCCCCAGTGGACCATCAGCTAACTCTTGAGAAGCCATCCCATTCTTTGCTATTGCAAACAGCTCACCTAATGTCCTCCCATTGTTCTTCAGACTCCATGTTTTTCACCAAGGCATTCTCGAATCCAATATGTGTTGAATTTGTTGACTGGGATTACCTGAAACAGGTCACGGCTCTTTAAATGGGCCAAATTTAGAATTACCAGCCTGGTAAGAAACAGCCCACTATCTCAAACTCGAGATAACCGATACCAAGAATAGTTACAGCACCCTTTAGATCAACAAACGTGCAGACCAGAGAAAACTGATGGTCATCGCCTTATTTTATTATCAAAGTCCACCAAGAGACACTGTCTCCTAATCTCTGAAACTGTCCGCGACACATGTTTCACTAACAGAACTGTCACGTCACAGAACATGTCTTTGACAGATTAGTTGACCAGTGTCACTGGTGATAGCATAACTGTCCCTGAAGCAGATGCCATATCTTACTGATGGAGCTGTCTTCTGTGAGCTAACTGTCCCTGAAGCAGATGCCATATCTTACTGATGGAGCTGTCTTCTGTGAGCTAACTGTCCCTGAAGCAGATGCCATATCTTACTGATGGAGCTGTCTTCTGTGAGCTAACTGTCCCCGAAGCAGATGCCATATCTTACTGATGAAGCTGTCTTCTGTGAGCTAACTGTCCCCGAAGCAGATGTCATATCTTACTGATGGAGCTGTCTTCTGTGAGCTAACTGTCCCTGAAGCAGATGCCATATCTTACTGATGGAGCTGTCTTCTGTGAGCTAACTGTCCCTGAAGCAGATGCCATATCTTACTGATGGAGCTGTCTTCTGTGAGCTAACTGTCCCTGAAGCAGATGTCATATCTTACTGATGGAGCTGTCTTCTGTGAGCTAACTGTCCCTGAAGCAGATGCCATATCTTACTGATGGAGCTGTCTTCTGTGAGCTAACTGTCCTTGAAGCAGATGTCATATCTTACTGATGGAGCTGTCTTCTGTGAGCTAACTGTCCTTGAAGCAGATGCCATATCTTACTGATGGAGCTGTCTTCTGTGAGCTAACTGTCCTTGAAGCAGATGCCATATCTTACTGATGGAGCTGTCTTCTGTGAGCTAACTGTCCCTGAAGCAGATGCCATATCTTACTGATGGAGCTGTCTTCTGTGAGCTAACTGTCCCTGAAGCAGATGTAATATCTTACTGATGGAGCTGTCTTCTGTGAGCTAACTGTCCCTGAAGCAGATGCCATATCTTACTGATGGAGCTGTCTTCTGTGAGCTGTGCTGGATCAAACCTTGTTGACCCATGATTTTGATGCCCACAGACAGCTACCATGCTAAATCACCACTTTGAGAGTGACTAAATATATGGTGAAAGTGTCTAAATACACAGGCAAATGGCTAAATACATGATGTAAGTGGCTAAATACTTAGCAGATACAATGTGAAAGTGGCCAGTTTGCTGACTAGATATTTTTGGTATGTATTGACCGACACAGAGATGGGCACAGGATATATGTGACCCTTTGAATATGAAAGTACACGAGGCAGGACAGCTGGCAAGAGACCCAGTTTCTTTCATGCAGACAGTGACGAGAGCGAAGTTCTGCAAAGGACATTTAAAAAATGCATTTCACAAGACGTGTTGCCTGTTGGAGTCCGGCCCGCTGGGGTCACAGGCCTCAGTGTGGGGACAAGGAATAGACCCACTGCCAACTTAATTAGAAGGTTGTAAAAGTAGATTAATTAGGGGTGTTTTTATTTCGAAGTCTGGGTGCATGTGCCCCAGAGCTGAAGAACCAACAGTCGGCACATAAATAAGCCAGATCTGTCAAACGGATGCGCCAAGTCAAACTTCAGTTCTGGAATAAGATTGATGACTAGAAGTGGATGAACAACCAGAACTTTCCACCAAAGTTTGCAGCCAGTGAACAGGAAGAAGAAGAACAAGTGAACAAACTTTATTTTTAATGGTTCACAAATTAGGCACCCAGAACTGGCCCCTTCAAACTGCTACCTTTCCCAGCAGTTGTATGTTATCAATAAAGCATGTTATGTTCATATAATAATATGCATATTATAAATATCAAGAAAAACCCAAGAATATGTGGTCAAATGCATGTGCACACTCATGTGCGTGCACACACACATGCACACATACACACACTTGTAATCACATATTCACACAAACATACAAAAACACATACACTCACATGTACATACCTGCATATTTACAGCCATCTATGCATAGAGACACACACAAGCATACACAGACCTGCAGAAGCATACACAGACATGCACAAGCATACACAGACCTGCACAAGCATACACGGACAAGCATACACAGACACAAACAAGCATACACACACAAGCATACACAGACCTGCACAAGCATACACGGACCTGCACAAGCATACACAGACCTGCACAAGCATACACGGACAAGCATACACAGACACAAACAAGCATACACACACAAGCATACACGGACATGCAGAAGCATACACAGACCTGCACAAGCATACACAGACGAACACAAGCATAAACAGACAAGCATACACAGACACACACACACATACATGGTCACACACAAGCATACACAGACACACACAAACATACATGGTCACACACAAGCATACACAGACACACACAAACATACACAGACACAAACAAGCAAACACACACAAGCATACACAGACACACACAAGCATACACAGACACACACAAACATACACAGACACAAACAAGCATACACACACAAGCATACACAGACACACACAAAAATACATGGACACACACAAGCATTTACAGTCACGCACAAGCATACACACACAAGCAAACACAGACACACACAGGCATACACAGACAAGCATACACAGTCACACACAGGCATACACAGGCAAGCATACACAGTCACACACAGGCATACACAGGCAAGCATACACAGTCACACACAGGCATACACAGGCAAGCATACACAGTCACACACAGGCATACACAGGCAAGCATACACAGAGAAGCATACACACACAAGCATACACAGTCACACACAGGCATACACAGACAAGCATACACAGTCACACACAGGCATACACAGGCAAGCATACACAGACAAGCATACACAGACAAGCATACACAGACACACACAGGCATACACACACAAACATACACAGACACACACAAGCATACACACACAAGCATACACACACAAGCATACACAGACACACACAGGCATACACAGACAAGCATACACAGTCACACACAGGCATACACAGACAAGCATACACAGACAAGCATACACAGTCACACACAGGCATACACAGGCAAGCATACACAGACAAGCATACACACACAAGCATACACAGACACACACAAGCATACACACACAAGCATACACAGTCACACACAGGCATACACAGACAAGCATACACACACAAGCATACACACACAAGCATACACAGACACACACAAGCATACACACACAAGCATACACAGTCACACACAGGCATACACAGACAAGCATACACAGTCAAGCATACACAGTCACACACAGGCATACACACACAAGCATACACAGACACACACAAGCATACACACACAAGCATACACAGTCACACACAGGCATACACAGACAAGCATACACAGACAAGCATACACAGTCACACACAGGCATACACAGACAAGCATACACAGACAAGCATACACAGTCACACACAGGCATACACAGGCAAGCATACACAGACAAGCATACACAGTCACACACAGGCATACACAGGCAAGCATACACAGACAAGCATACACAGACAAGCATACACAGACAAGCATACACAGACAAGCATACACAGACAAGCATACACACACAAGCATACACAGACACACACAAGCATACACACACAAGCATACACAGTCACACACAGGCATACACACACATGCATACACACACAGGCATACACACACAGACATACACAGACAGGCATTCACACACAGGCACACACACACAAGCATACACAGTCACACACAGGCATACACAGACAAGCATACAGACACACTCAAGCATACACAGACAAGCATACAGACACACTCAAGCATACACAGACAAGCATACAAACACAAGCATACACAGTCACACACAGGCATACACAGACAAGCATACAGACACACTCAAGCATACACAGACAAGCATACAGACACACTCAAGCATACACAGACAAGCATACAGACACACTCAAGCATACACAGACAAGCATACAGACACACTCAAGCATACACAGACAAGCATACAGACACACTCAAGCATACACAGACAAGCATACATACACAAGCATACACAGACAAGCAAACACAGACACCCACAAGCATACACAGACCAGCATACACAGACACACACAAGCATACACAGACACACACAAGCATACACAGACACACACAAGCATACATGGACACACACAAGCATATACAGATACACACAAGCATACACAGACACGCACAAGCATACACAGACACACGCAAACATACATGGATACACACAAGCATACACAGACACACACAAGCATACACACAGAAGCATACAGATACAAGCATACACAGACACACACAAGCAAACACAGACACACACAAGCATACACAGACACACACAAGCATACACAGACACACACAAGCAAACACAGACACACACAAGCATACACAGACACACACAAGCATACACACACACAAAGCATACACAGACACACACAAGCATACACAGACACACACAAGCATACACAGACACGCACAAGCATACACAGACAAGCATGCATGGACACACACAAGCATACACACACACAAGCATACAAAGACAAGCATACATGGACACACACAAGCATACACAGACACACACAAGCATACACAGACACGCACAAGCATACACAGACACACACAAGCATACACAGATAAGCACACATGGACACACACAAGCATACACAGTCACACACAAGCATACACAGACGAACACAAGCATACACAGACACACACAAGCATACACAGACACACACAAGCATACACAGTCACACACAAGCATACACAGTCACACACAAGCATACACAGACAAGCATACATGGACACACACAAGCATATTCAGACACACACAAGCATACACAGACACGCACAAGCATACACAGACACACACAAGCATACACAGATAAGCATACATGGACACACACAAGCATACACAGTCACACACAAGCATACACAGTCACACACAAGCATACACAGTCACACACAAGCATACACGGACACACACAAGCATACCCGTACACACACAAGCATACACAGACAAGCATACACGGACACACACAAGCATACACAGACAAGCATACACGGACACACACAAGCATACACAGACAAGCATACACAGACACACACAAGCATACCCGGACACACACAAGCATACACAGACAAGCATACACGGACACACACAAGCATACACAGACACACACAAGCATACCCGGACACACACAAGCATACACACACAAGCATACCCAGACACACACAAGCATACACAGACACACACAAGCAAACACAGACACACACAAGCATACACAGTCACACACAAGCATACACAGTCACACACAAGCATACACAGTCACACACAAGCATACACGGACACACACAAGCATACCCGTACACACACAAGCATACACAGACAAGCATACACGGACACACACAAGCATACACAGACAAGCATACACGGACACACACAAGCATACACAGACAAGCATACACAGACACACACAAGCATACACAGACACACACAAGCATACCCGGACACACACAAGCATACACAGACAAGCATACACGGACACACACAAGCATACACAGACACACACAAGCATACCCGGACACACACAAGCATACACACACAAGCATACCCAGACACACACAAGCATACACAGACACACACAGTCACATGCGCAAGAAGAAGACTGTTGTGGAATTAGTTGAGTTTTAAATATTTCTGCCCAACTATTACCTGGCTCCGTATCAGCATATTCTCGGCGTTTCCTCTCTAAACGTTCCCGCTCCTGGAACAGTTCTTGCTCCTTCATGGCAACTTCCTGTTCTAGTTTAGCCAAGTACATCTGCAAAAAAAAGAAACAACAACAGGTTAAAGGTCAGAAATATATAGCCACTGCATGGTCCAGGACAAACAGAAGTACAGATTATGGTTAGAAATATGTCAAGTATGCCAGCAAGGAATTTGACAGACTCTGTCCATGTGCCCTGTCGGCGATACAAACTGTCAATGATACAAACTGTCAGTGACACAAACTGTCAGTGAAACAAACTGTCAGCAACACAAACTGTCAGCAACACAAACTGTCAGTGATATAAACTGTCAGTGACACAAACTGTCAGAGACACAAACTGTCAGTGACACAAACTGTCAGTGACACAAACTGTCAGTGACACAAACTGTCAGCAACACAAACTGTCAGCAACACAAACTGTCAGTGACACAAACTGTCAGTGACACAAACTGTCAGTGACACAAACTGTCAGTGATACAAACTGTCAGCGACACAAACTGTCAGCGACACAAACTGTCAGCGATACAAACTGTCAGCGACACAAACTGTCAGCGACACAAACTGTCAGCGACACAAACTGTCAGTGACACAAACTGTCAGTGACACAAATTGTCAGTGATATAAACTGTCAGTGACACAAACTGTCAGTGATACAAACTGTCAGTGACACAAACTGTCAGTGACACAAACTGTCAGTGATACAAACTGTCAGCAACACAAACTGTCAGTGATACAAACTGTCAGCGACACAAACTGTCAGTGATACAAACTGTCAGCGACACAAACTGTCAGCGACACAAACTGTCAGTGATACAAACTGTCAGCGACACAAACTGTCAGCGACACAAACTGTCAGTGACACAAACTGTCAGTGACACAAATTGTCAGTGATATAAACTGTCAGTGACACAAACTGTCAGTGATACAAACTGTCAGTGACACAAACTGTCAGTGACACAAACTGTCAGCGACACAAACTGTCACAAACTGTCAGCGACACAAACTGTCAGCGACACAAACTGTCAGCGACACAAACTGTCAGCGACACAAACTGTCAGCGACACAAACTGTCAGCGACACAAAACTGTCAGCACACAACTGTCAGCGACACAAACTGTCAGCGACACAAAACTGTCAGCGACACAAACTGTCAGCGACACAAACTGTCAGCAACACAAACTGTCAGTGACACAAACTGTCAGCGACACAAACTGTCAGCGACACAAACTGTCAGCGATACAAACTGTCAGCGACACAAACTGTCAGCGACACAAACTGTCAGCGACACAAACTGTCAGTGACACAAACTGTCAGTGACACAAATTGTCAGTGATATAAACTGTCAGTGACACAAATTGTCAGTGATATAAACTGTCAGCGACACAAACTGTCAGCGATACAAACTGTCAGCGACACAAACTGTCAGCGACACAAACTGTCAGCGACACAAACTGTCAGTGACACAAACTGTCAGTGACACAAATTGTCAGTGATATAAACTGTCAGCGACACAAACTGTCAGTGATACAAACTGTCAGTGACACAAACTGTCAGTGACACAAACTGTCAGTGATACAAACTGTCAGTGACACAAACTGTCAGNTACAAACTGTCGGACACAAACTGTCATGAACACAAACTTTCAGTGACACAAACTGTCAGTGTGATACAAACTGTCAGCTATACAAACTGTCAGTGACACAACTGACATACAAACTGTCAGCGACACAAACTGTCAGCAACACAAAACGGTGCCGACACAAACTGTCGTGACACAAACTGTCAGTGACACAAACTGTCAGTGACACAAAACTGTCAGTGATACAAACTGTCAGTGATACAAAATGTCAGTGGACACAAACTGTCAGTGCCACACAAACTGTCAGTGATACAAAACTGTCAGCAACACAAACTGTCAAACTGTTGATACAAACTGTCAGCGACACAACTGTCAGCGACCACACAACTGTCAGTGATACAACTGTCAGCGCAAACTGTCAGCGACACAAACTGTCAGCGACACAGTGACCAAACTCATTCAGTTGATGACATAAACTGTCACGAGTGATACAAACTGTCCAGCGACACAAACTGTCATGACACATGAACTGTCAGTGAACACAAATTGTCACTTGATATAAACTGTCAGTGACACAAACTGTCAGTGATACAAACTGTCAGTGACACAAACTGTCAGTGACACAAACTGTCAGTGATACAAACTGTCAGCGACACAAACTGTCAGCGACACAAACTGTCAGCGACACAAACTGTCAGCGACACAAACTGTCAGCGACACAAACTGTCAGCGACACAAACTGTCAGCGACACAAACTGTCAGCGACACAAACTGTGAGTGACACAAACTGTCAGCGACACAAACTGTCAGCGACACAAACTGTCAGCGACACAAACTGTCAGCAACACAAACTGTCAGTGACACAAACTGTCAGCGACACAAACTGTCAGCGACACAAACTGTCAGCGATACAAACTGTCAGCGACACAAACTGTCAGCGACACAAACTGTCAGCGACACAAACTGTCAGTGACACAAACTGTCAGTGACACAAATTGTCAGTGATATAAACTGTCAGTGACACAAATTGTCAGTGATATAAACTGTCAGCGACACAAACTGTCAGCGATACAAACTGTCAGCGACACAAACTGTCAGCGACACAAACTGGTCAGCGACACAACTTGTCAGTGACACGACACAAACTGTCAGTGACACAATTGTCAGTGATATAAACTGTCAGCGACACAAACTGTCAGTGATACAAACTGTCAGTGACACAAACTGTCAGTGACACAAACTGTCAGTGATACAAACTGTCAGTGACACAAACTGTCAGCGACACAAACTGTCAGCGACACAAACTGTCAGTGACACAAACTGTCAGCGACACAAACTGTCAGCGACACAAACTGTCAGCTGTAGACAATTCAGATTATATGGTCCACTGACTGCAAGTAGGTAGCCCTTTGGCTCAGATGGGGCATCTGACTAGATGATTTATACAGACAAAGCTGTACCCAGTTAAAGAACAGCAGGTGGGGCATCTGACTAGATGATTTATACAGACAAAGGTGTACCCAGTTAAAGAACAGCAGATGGGGGATCTGACTAGATGGTTTATACAGACAAAGGTGTACCCAGTTAAAGAACAGCAGATGGGGGATCCGACTAGATGATTTATACAGACAAAGGTGTACCCAGTGAAGGAACAACAGGTGGGAAATTCTTGTAGATGACTTTCATATTTCTGGGTACAGGGTAACATTAAGGAGATCTCTATATGATTTCTATATCTCTGGATAGGGGAAGACATTAGGGAGATGTGTCTAGGACTTCTTTATCTCTAGGTACAGTGAGACGCGGAGATGTCTCTATGACTTCCTTATCTCTAGGTACAGGGAGACATTAGGGAGATGTCTGTATGGCTTCCGTATCTCTTAGTACAGGCAGACATTAGGGAGATGTCTTTAGGACTTCATTATCTCTAGGTACAGGGAGACATTAGGGAGATATCTCTATGACGTCCATATCTCTGTGTATGATCAACTTTACTGAGTTAATTAATCATGAATGGTGGGACTGAACTGTAGAAGAGAAACAACTCAGTAAAAATGAAACATGTACTCAATGAAGGGACTTGACTGGACACACTCAAGCACAATTTAACAAACACATCACGTAAGCTACCTGTTGTATGCAAAAGTCACTGTGGTGTGTAAAGTGTTAAGAAAGCCAGAGCTTTGTGAAGCATGGGTACACACTGGCATTCCTGTTGTGTTGACAGGTTGTGACTGCAAACATTGGACCTATTTCAAGTTGTGAAAGAGAGGGTGCCTGATATTCACAGGTGACTGCAAACACCCCAAGTTGCGTGGGGAATTTGAGATCCAAGTGTACCTGACCTCTATTGGCGAAAGTGCATGGTACTTGAGTCAGTCGCTTTCAGTCAGTCTAGATGTGTGAACGGGTGAGAGAATTGTTCGAGTGACATGACAGTTTCAACAATATATTTTATTATGTTTGAGCTCGTAATGTGCCCAGTGAATGTGGTGGATCATTAGTTGTACGTTGGAATGCAGTCAGAGTGATTTTCTAGAATAGACTTGTGTCAGCCATGTGTGTAGGTTTGAAAAAGTTGTGGCTATGTGGCATGCTGGTTGCCGGGGTTTCCTTCAATGCCTCAGAAAGTGCTGTGGTGATATTGTGTATGTTGACCAATGTGGAGCAATGATGGAAGGGGGGGGGGGGGGGTCTATCAGAAATTCTGGTTACCTAGAGGTTCAACAGTTATACTTTAACGAGTGACTGGGTGGCAGACGGGAGGTCTGGATTTTTTTCAAGTGGTGCATGTATTCAACCATAATAAAGATACTAATCGCACTATACGGTCATTCTAGGTGTAGTGCACTGAATTACAGCACTCTTAGGCAGCGCTCGTGGTTATGAAAGGACATGTAAACAGTGCCAGATATATTGTGGTTGTTAACTTGTTACTGTGCTTGGCTTGTTGTAGTGTTCTTGTTTGGGTTGGCTCTCCTGTACTCCAGTATTAGACACCATCAGCATGTGCCATGCCAATGAGAGTAGGCGGCCATGATTCATCGTTTCAGGGAATCCTGTGTCGAGGCCTGACATTTATAAACAATCCCCTAGATACGCGGCAAGTGTGCAATGCATAGCCAGCCGCATGCATCACACTACCAACTCAAGACCACTGACAGTGTGCGCATCATCACACTACCACCTCAAGACCACTGACAGTGTGCGCATCATCACACTACCAACTCAAGACCACTGACATCATCACACTACCAACTCAAGACCACTGACATCATCACACTACCAACTCAAGACCACTGACATCATCACACTACCACCTCAAGACCACTGACATCATCACACTACCAACTCAAGACCACTGACATCATCACACTACCACCTCAAGACCACTGACATCATCACACTACCACCTCAAGACCACTGACATCATCACACTACCACCTCAAGACCACTGACATCATCACACTAC